TGCATAAATGCCTGGCCAACTAAGTCTCTCTCTCTCTCTCTCTCTCTCTCTCTCTCTCTCTCTCTCTCCCTCTCTCTCTCTCTCTCCCCCCTCCCTCTCCCTCTCCCTCTCTCTCCCAGCCACCTCCTCTTCCCACAAAGTCACTAGCTATACTTCTTTGCTATTTTTTTCAAATAAATATCAGAGTTAATACCCTCATGCGGAGGAATGACAGGAGTTCAAGGGCTGCTCAGAGAGTCTGGGACCACTGGAGAGCACACATGAGGCCACGTCCCTGCTGGCTTCACCATGCAGGCTTTACCATTCTCAGGGCTCTGCTCCTGCTCTTGCAGCTCACTCCCATATCAGGCCTCCTCCAGAACCATAGGTTACAGACAATGTCACATGGATCATGGGAAACATGAATGGCACTTTTACATTCTAAGGTTGGTGAAAATGTAGTCAGGCCAGCAAGGTGAGTCAGTAGGTAAAGGAGATGTTGCCACCAAGCCCCAATATCTGAGTTCGATCTCCAACACCCATGTTGTAGAAGGAGAGAACTGACTCCTGAAGCCTCTGACTTCCACACATGTGCTATGGCACACTTGTACACCACACCACAATATACATGCACACACACCCCAATAAATAAATGTAATACTTTTTTGTGTCTTTTTTGAGATGGGGTCTCCCTGAAGCCCCAGCTGGCCTGGAACTCACTGTGTAGACCAGGCTCACAGAGCTCTGCCTGCCTCTGCCTCCTGAGTGCTGGGATCAAAGGTGTGCATCACCACACCCCACATATATAATAAATGTTTAAAGAGGTAAGATCAGTGTATCATAGCCAATGAACACACACAGTTTTACCTCCTTATAGATAGAAATGATGAAGAGTTGTCTGGTTAGGAGAGAAAGAAATTGGTTTCAGAGAAGGAATTTAAAACAAATCTAGAGCATTTGCTCCCTCACTGAGTCTCTTGTGAATGGAATGTGAGATAGGAGAGAAGTTACTGGAGTTCTCACACTGGTGTTTGTGTTCAGAAATGTGTGGCTCAGACAGAGTTCTCCAAAATGTGATATTTAAAGAAGTAACATCAAAATAACCCTGACAGTCTTAATTCCAGAGGGTTCTAGAGGCTGAACAAGTCTGGGATCCAGTAAAGATACTAACCCTTAACTCTTCTTGTGACTC